CCCATCAGTGAGAAAGTTAATCACATTATTGAGGGGTTCTTCCATCGTACTAAACGATTCATAGTGGCAGATGTAAGAATCTAGGACTTCATAAAAAGTGTTAATGCGGGCAGCGGTAAATTCCACAGGAAGTCTACGCGCTTGAACGATTCCATCTTCAGCATAAATCATATTAGCGTAGAACTCCTTCACCACATTTGCATCAGCTTTATTGGTGGTGTAACAAAAGTTTTCCCACCTCCGCTCGGCAATAACCAATTCAATTTCTCCTCCCGGACTCTCGAAAACTCGATCTTGAATACATTTTTTTCCTTGAAGTATCGAAGTGAATCGAGTTTGAGCCATCGCATTGACGAAGCGTGAATCGTCGAGCTCAACTCTTCTCTTTTGACGTGGAGCCATTTTTAATCTAATCAAAACAAAGAAAATTTCTAAAAATTACTTATAATATGTAAATAATGGCTTCTAATGGTAATTCAAAGATTTCAACATTAAGATCCATGAATTTCTTCCAAGATTTTCTTCATATTTTCAAATTTTCGGGTTTCCTCAATGTGGAAGAAATACATGGTGAAAATCAATTATTTAGCTTGGAGTGAAGCTCTTACCTAAAGAAGATCAAATCGGTGTAAAAAAACCTTGAAATCGTCTCCCAATCCAAGATCTATCAAGCCCTAATTCGAAAATGGCATTTTTAGGAGGAAGGGGATGATGAATTAGATATAACCCTGTAGATTCTGGAGAATTTGTCCTGTAGCCTCGGGAAAAGTGAGCCTCGGGAAAAGCTCACCGGCGGCGGCCTCGATGGCGCCGTCGGCGCCCTAGTGCAGTTCTCCACATTTTGGTCCTTTTTGCTCCAAATTCGCTCCTTTTTGCATATTTTTGCTCCATTGACCGTAATCCATCATTCCTGCAACAAAACATCAAAAATATCTTTCTTTAAAGTGCAATATCATTAAAAATAGTATAAAAGAGGTATGAAAATCTCAACATATTTTCCTTTAGTCAGCATCACAAATGAATGTACCGGCATGAGGTCGATCCAATTTAATTAAATTAATGATTCATTTTTTAAACTTTCAAGATTGATCAAAATAACGAGCAATTAGACACATGTATCCAATTGTTTGATAGGAATTTAATAAATCAAAAGTTGATGAAAGTATGTGAACATCCTTAAGCTGCTTTGATAATTTTTTTTTTCAAACTCATAAATCTTTGTACTGTTATTTTTTATTGTGTTTTCTGAAACTTTCTCATAATTTGGATTTCATACTTTCAATAAAATGTTAAACCTTGCATGTTCAACAACATTAAATGGAAACTCACGTATTATAATCATTTTAAAAATTTATCTCTCTAACATTTTGGTGATCACAACTCTATAAATTGTGAAACATTAAGATCTCGACATTTACATCAATATCAAATGACATAAAATTCAATAATTTTTAGTTTTTTCAGAAAGATCAACTCTTTGCTTACTCTTATTTTTTATTTGTTCACATTCTCTCACATGCCATAATAGTTCAGAAGTTGTTTTCATTTTAGATTTGTGAAATTTTATTCAATAACATATGCATTGCCAAAAAAATGTTGAGACCCCTTAATAATAAATGCTGTCTCTCACAAAAATAATCATAAGGATCTTGTGCAGTCCCATTCAATGGTTCAACACCAACTAACTGGTTTTAAGAATTGGATGCTATCCACTTTTGTTATTGAGGGAAGAAAAAGATGAGAGGTGGAAATGGTAATATTTAAGGTTATTTTCAAGAGAAATTTATTAACACATATTTCAACCTCGACCAGATATTCTTAATAAATTAAAGAAGTGAACCAAAAGACAAATAATATTCCTTTGCATCACTTCACCGTTGCCTCCACACATCACATATATATCTCAGATCTTATATAGAGAACATATAACTCAATGTTGAAAATAAATAATTAGATGTCACCTTAGCCACTGTAAAACTCATTTTAAAATCACATTAGAAAAACAGTAATGCAAATATTAAATTCATTACCCACTGCTTTAAAACTCCAAAATCACAATAGAAGATTACACAACCCATCAATTCAAGAAGGCAACGAGCTTTGAGGTGGAAAGAAAAATTCTATGCTAAACACAATCAATAAGGTATAGTGAATGTGAAAAAGGAATCAAGAATCACACGGTTCAAGCGTTTGAAAAGGGTTGTTCGTGAGATTGTGGCAAGAGGTTAATACATGAATTTTATTAACTAATCAAATTTAACTTTAAACTAAATGATATGAGTTTGAGTCGAAGCCAATTTTTTTGCTTAGCAATAGGACAAAATAATTATAATTAAATCAATTGATATGAATAAAAAAAAACAAAAAATCACTTGATATAAGACATTAATATGTAATTTTTAAAACAACTTTATATTTCATTAAAATTTAACATATTTTTTTAGAATTTACTTTAATATATCCACAAATTAATCATCATAGTAAGCGAGGACTCAAACTTAACTCGTCAGCTTTTCAACTCAAAATTTGAATTATACGTCATTTATGAAACAAACCTTAATAAACAACTTGCAACCTTAAGAGAGAACAATACATCTTCATATGATATCGTGAATTGATAATATCGCGGTGTTATTGTGATGATAATAATTGATAATATCGCGGTGTTATTGTGATGATAATATTATATTGAACATGATCATGATACCGTGAATTGGTGATATCATAGTGTTAGGATCCTAATACCACTAAATTCACATTCACCGTATTCCCTCCTCTCCTGATGTTGTTTCCCGCCATGTGATTACAACTACAATCATTGTAGTACTATATTCTCTCCCCTCCCGCTCCTGCCCTAGCCAGAAATTAGGGTTTGCCGGCTGTGCATCCATCTCCGCCATCGTCAGAGGAGGGCTAATGGAATCTCTAATCCCTGAAATTTCCCATCTCCTCAACAATACCATCAGCCCGGACAAAACCCTCGTTTCCGCCGCTGCCGACCGTCTCGATCGGCTCTCTTCTCAGCCCGGCTTCCTCCTTTCCCTCCTGGCCATAACCACAGGCTTGTTATTCCCCCCAACTCTAAGATACCTAACGAAGATTTATCGATTTTCTAAAAAGCTGCATTTGTTTTAGTCGGTGATTCTCAAGGTTTGAAGATAGCTGCGGCCATATATTTGAAAAACTTCTTCAGACGTCACGAGGCGGATGTTCGGGCTTCTTCTGGGCAGTACATTGAGTTTCGGAATCAGTTGGCTCAGACTTTGCTTCAAGTGGATTCTTCGGTTCTTAAAGTCTTGGTAGAAGCTGTATGTATTTCTAGTCTGAAGCGGTTTTTCTGTGTAAACATTATTTACACTTCCGAGACTATTATACCTTCATATATTTATAATTCGAAAAATTTGCTCGTTATTACATTACAATTATCTAAAATTTCACTCCCGCAGGTTCTATTGACAATGCATTGTTGCGTTTAAAATGACGAGGAACAGGATAGGGCCGCACGACTTTCCAGCAAGTTTTAGGGACAATCTTCCTAAAAAAAAACTGAAAATTTTGCATCATCTTTTAACTAGTTAAAATGCAGATGTTTTTGGCATATGCTGATTTACATGAAAGTCACTAAATTTTTATGTATTTACAAATCTAATGCCTTAATCTTTATGTTCACTCACATAACACCTTAGTTTTAAATTACATAAAATAATACTAACATTAACTAACTTAAAAGAATAAAACATATTTTCATGCACATATTTTGACATGATTTGTATATTAGAGCATCATACAATTAAATATAAAGATTTAGATGTAAATATACAAGAATTTAAAGGCATGTATGTAAATACCCTTTTTCTTTTTAGCTGATAAATCTTGTTGAGTTTTTAAAATTGTTCGTTGTGACGCTTAGTGGCTTGCTTGCCGAGGATTGAATTTTAAGGAGTAATATTACTTCTATTTTGATATTCAGAGTTTGTTTAATTTGTTGATAAATGAATTCATAGCAATTGAAATTTAGTTTATTTAAAATAATTTTGTGTTATTTTATTTTGTGTAAAATAAATACAAGTATTTATATTTATTTGTTTGTTTAAAGAAAAATAAGATCAATGAAAACACAGTCTACAATGGTGGGCAACTGTGACCAGCGATGAAGAGCATTTAGGGGCTGACTAGTTGCGGCCGGTGGAGAACAACTGTGGTCTATGGTGAACAATAACAGAGTGTGAGGATGCTGGGAGTGGTGGGTGGCGGTGGGCTATCTGCAGTAGTTTGCAGTTTATTTGAAATTGTCCAAATCTATCAAATTGACAATACACTAGTTTCAAATTGCAATGTTAATTATAAAATCATCAAAATTTTACAATGCATTTTATTTTCATTAAAAAAATACACTTAAATTTAAAGAAATCTTGTGTCACATGTCGGTTCCGGAAGGCTGTACACCCCGACAATGCACGACATGGTGAAATAAATTAAACATATTTTACATTTTTTAAAGAAAAGATTTTGTGCAAGTAATAAGGAAGAATAAATTTTATTCCATCCAATTGATGCACTAAAATAAAATTAATACTAATTGAAACAAAATTGAATTGACAATAGTAGAAACAATTATCCAAAGCCCCGAAATGGAAAAAAAAAACTAAAAGAAATATTGAAAATACCAAAAAAGAAGCAATATAAAACTAGAAGGTTTGATCCCGTGAGGTCGGTCTTGCAATGGCTGAAGGGAATCTGCTATACAGAAATATCAATGAGTGAGTTTGACAAATTAAACTTAATAAATAACAAATATTTATTAAAACACAAACAACAATAAATTGAGGCATGTAGTATGAACAATAAAACGAGTCAATTATTATATGCATATATAAAATCATAAATCAACAATATTGTGACGAGCAAAATATGTTGAATTATCTTAAGAGAAAATACAATCATTTCAAATCAGATCAAGTTTTATCCATATATAACTTATCAATTATTCATTATTCAATTTTCATTTATATAGTCGGTTTTAACGGACACCTTGAAATCAGGAAGGTTAATACCAACTCAAGGTAGCCTGATAATTTTCTGTAGAGTCGTCAAGTGGGTCCATAGACCCGACTAACTAATATCCAAAAAAGTTTCATCAACCTACATACTGCTACGAACAAACATTGCACATTTTTCTACAAGCAAGTATATATGAAATATGTTAATTTACACAAACTGACGATATGACAAATCTACGTGCAATTTATAAGTGTTAAATTCAAAATAAGATAAAATTATAATTGCAGGATTTAATCAAATATGTAGGGAGTTATGCAACAATAAAGTAAGATGATTATTTTCTTCTTTATGAACAATAAATGAAGCCTATAACACATGTAAAATAAAAAATTAAAATGAAGTAGCAAGGGCATGTCTGTCAATCCTATAAAATAATTATGAATATACTACAACAATAATGATAACGCCCTTAACTTAAAAATGTACATTTATACTCTAATAAAAAATAATTACTTACCTCGAAGCGGCCAAAACTAAACTTGTCCTTTGCAAATTAGAAGTCCTAATTATCAATAGTTTTGCATGTAAACAATTTAAAACTAGTTATTAAATAAGTTAGGTGTAATGAAAATTAATATATTATTATTATTATATTCTTGGAAGAAATTATAAAATCAATTAAAGTTATCTCTCCACCAAAGAAAAATGAATAAGTTCACTTATCTAGACACACACACTCTTATATACTCGCATACATATACTTATGAATATGTATAATAGAAATTATTACTAAACACAATTGCATTAAAGTAAAAGAGGAGAAAAAAAAAAAGAAATATACGGAGGGCTTATGATGCTTGCTCGATCAAGAAAAGATGGAGAAAGAGGAGGAAGAGGAGAGCAACTTTGGTTTCTGCTTTCGGCTAGGTTTGGTGTGAGACGGAGGATGAAATGAGAAAGAGAAATGTTACTAGGGTTATGGAAGGATGAAGGTGAAGTTCGGTTTGTGCCCTAGCGCACACTCTACTTATATAGGATAGAGAGGCCATGCAGTGGATCAAATTGGGAAGGCAACAAGTGAGAGTGGGAAGGAGAGAAGGAAAGAATCTCGGGAGTCCAAATCGGGAATGCGATAACGGCACAATCGCGAGAAGAAGGAAAGGATTGCAATTCGTAAAGGTGGTTAACAAAAGGGGAAGAAAAAACACTTGATTTGTGCGATCCGGGAGGCAGTGCTGTGCGGCATTGACGCGGGATTCACAAGAAATATTTTAAAATCTTACACATTGCATTAGTTTAATTTACTCTCAAAATTCAGTCTACCAAATGGCTTCTTAATGAGTTTGATACTGTTTGAAGGGTTTTTTTTACATTTATAAATAGAGAGGGCAACGTTAAACATATAAACTTTAAAGTCTTGTTTTGATAAACGAGTTACCGTTGTAGTTCAACCATTCTTTAATACTTGAATTTAACAGCCATGCAACTTTCCTTTTTAACATCATTTCTGTGGAGGTGGGACCTTTTATTTCTTTTCATTTAAGATATGGCTTTTCCTGTCTCCTGATATTTTTCTTTTACTCTTTTAATTTCCAGCTTATTTCATTATACTTCATCGAGCTACCAACATTTTCTATTATTTTTTTCTCATTTTCCTTTTTACGTCATAATGCAGTTTCTTGGGGTTATTACTACTGATTTTGTGAAGGAGAACTGCTGGCCTGACCTCATCCCTGAGCTTAGATCAGTGATTCAAAACAGTAAACTTATTAGACAGTCTCCATGTTCTCAGTGGAAGACAATTAATGCCCTTATTGTTCTGCAAACAACCATTAGACCCTTCCAGGTAACACCTTGATGAACAAAGGGTTTTTCCTTCAATACTTAGCTTTCCTGGGGCAATCAGCAGAAACTTTGAATGACAGATTTTTATATGCTTATGCTGCTTAATTAGCTTATAATGCAAGTAATTTACAATATACATTTAATATTTTGTCATATGATGCCAAAACTAATCAATGTTGACATTTCAAGTTGTCTTTTGTCACAATTTGATATATTTTAAGATAATTAAGCCATTAATGTGCAAAGAATGCGCTGGGCTTTGATATTTAATTGATTTAATTTACTGCTTTTCTTGTTAGCTAAGTGAACATCATCCCACTATTTAGATAAAACTTTTGCCAAGGTGACGTTCCATCACACTTTTCACACCAAATAGAGTGTGATTTAACTCTAGTCACAATTACTTGAAGCGTGAGTTAGCAAGATAAGATGATAACTCAGCAAATAGCCTAAACTATTCTCAAGAATACCTCGAAACTTTTTCCTTGTCCTTTATACTTTTCTCAGCACTTTATGCTTAAAGTTGGTAACAATCCAACATTGCTAATAGGGTAAGTTGTGTTTTGTGACGCTATATATTAGAACAACTTGACTCTTTTTATTGCAGGCATGTTTATGATGCAAAATTGTGCACAATTTAGTAACGTGGAATGGCACAACCTCTACGCCATTTTCATGGTGAAGTGTAGGGGTTAAATGGCATGCATTATTTGTTGTATAGGTGGATAATAGTGCATAGTGTATACCCTTTTTAGCTTGTGCTATTTGATTGTTACGATTAAGGATTTTAAGTTAATACTGACATTACTTATATTTATATTTTTTAATTTAATTTAATTTTATTTAGTGTTTATTAAGGTAACTCGAGAGCTAATTGTACACACAATTGGCTTAAACTAACACGAAAAAGGTCAATGCTAGCAAGTGAAGTGGTGGATCCTTGAAGTTATCAACGTTGACTTAGCATGTAACTTATTATTAGTTTTGGCTTGGAAAATGGAGGTCAATGTTATCATGCAATCTTTTCATGCTTTCAAATTCAAAAAAGGCGATTTTCTTGGTTTTGGAAGAGGCTGACTTCAATGTCGATAAATGGACGCTTTTATATGCGAAAGCTTTGATGTTCTTAATTTCACTACAAGTGTAGTGTTGCTTTTGTTTTTTCCTACTTAAAATTTGATATTGATTTCTGTCCTTAATATTTTTAAAATCAACTTATATATATATACTTATTCAGCTATCTCATGATACATATTGCACTCGTATTTTCTCTCGTAAAACTATCAAGATTGACAATCGTTTTATGAAGATTCTGAAGTGGACAGTCGGTTTTGATCTAAAAGCGGAGTCTCCTATTATTCCTGTTTGGATAAAGTTTTCGAGGTTAAAATTACCATCTTTTCAACATGGAAATCCTCTACTTTTTAGCAACTGTTTTCGCTAAGCCTCTCAAGGTGGATAATCCTACGCTTGCTGTCGCTAAACCCTCTTTTGCTTATGTGTTAGTTGAGAGAGATATCACTCAACCAGCTCCGAATGAGATATGAATTGACACTATTCACAACGGGTATTGACAAAAGGTTAAAATGGAACCACATCTGCCCTATTGCTCTCATTGTAGTATGTTTGAACACAACTCTACTATTTGTTTTCGACTGCATCCTCATCTAACGCCAAATATCACAAAAGAACAACCACCTATTATCCCTGTTGAGAAGATGCAACCTAATCCTCTTCCCAACACTGCTGTTCCTGAGGAAGAACTGAGGAAGAACAAAGAACAACTTACTACAGCTACAGATCTAGTTGTGCATATGCCACCCACTGTTATTGAAGAAACTCATTTACACGTCAAGACACACGAGAGTGCTCCTTTGATCCAATAACAGATCACCCGGTACAATATGTAGTTGCTTCTAACTTTCAACAATCTGCACAGCTCCAGCACACATTAGACCGAGATTAGGTGAGCCAATCTTCAGATGAAGAATGACAGGTCTATTCCAGGAGGAAAAAGAAGAATGGAGGTCGACTCCAGCTCGGAAATATATTGGATGATACATTGGTTACTACTGACAATGACAATCATCTCACCAACTTATTAGCTTGCTCATTTCTTGGAACCAGAGGCAGAGACAAATCCAAATTGGGTGCTCTCTAGTCACCTGATACTTTGTATTTCAACAGTTTTAGACTTTTTTCTTTTTGTCTCTAATGTACTTTTCAATATTTTCTAGTTTTGGAACCCATTTTGGTTTTGGTTTTGGTGTTGGCAGGGAGCCATGTTTTGGGCTCTCCAACACATTTTATCAGAATCTTACTTTTTAGTTAATATATTAGCCTTTTTGGGCTTTCATAAATAAATAAATAAATAAATAAATGTATATATATATATGTATATATATATATATGTTTGTGTGTGTGCGCTCCTCAAATTTGACAATTTTAAGGAGTTAATTGGTGAGGGATTTTTGTATGTCGCCACAAAAAACATTTGGAGGACTTCTATGTAGATGACCAAACTCGATATTTTGAAGAATAATATATCTTCCCAAAGGAAAGAAAATAATCTTAAGAATGAGCCTAATCACCCCAATGACGAAAGCCTTCGTCAGTCTACAGAACCATGGTTTTTTCTTTTATCTTACGGGTGTAAGATAAGATTTTTTTTTTTTAATTCTGAGGTCTCATTTCTAATAAAAGCAAACTCTCATAGTTAATTACATTTATAGAGCCTTGAGTTCTAAAGAAACTCTCGATTAATGCAATGAGTCAAATCATTAGAGGTCAGAATTTCAAGATTGGAGTGGTTGTAAATAAGTAAATGATTTAAATTGGAAGAATTAAACTCAAAGGGATGCGACTTATAGTTCGATGATAATGTATCATTGGAAAGACCAACATGAAGGGATTTGACTGTCCAATGAAGGAGGTCTATATTCGAAGAGTGATGGTTTAAAAGTTTGAAAATACTGATAATGAGTTTGAATTAATTAGATGAGGTCAAAAGGTGAATCAAGAGTAGCTTTTTTGACCAGCACAAGTAATTGAAATCCCTAAGTTAAGAAAAAAAAGCAGGTAAGAATGATTTCTAGATAAGAAATGAAAACCCTAAACTCTATAGGGAATTTTAAGGAGCGGATTAGCCTAGACTTTGGGAATAACATCTCTGGTCAGGATTCCCATGGCTTTTCATCGTCTTGGGGACATTGGTATCCACTAACTACAAACAACCTCATAACCATGAATCCTCCTTAAACACTGTAACGTAGGGGATTTGTAGTTTTGAAGCGGTCGGTCTGAAATGCCTTCGTCAGGAACCATTGGTTATATCATTCTAAGACTGTCCCTCTAGTCTCAGGGGATATGTTTATTGTTTTGTATGCCCTAGTCCTTAACACTAATTAGGGTACCTATCAAACTAACCTAAGTATCTATACTTTGACTAACTTGGGGTAAGTATATGATTCTCAGTTTGGTGTCTAAATCAGCTAAACTAAGGTTCATATCAAATATGCTTAGGTTTTGTTCTTATTTTTTATCTTGGTGTATTTTGAATGTTATTTGAGATTCAATGTTTAATCCATATTTTGTTTTAGCTCCTAAGTTTGTCACTTATGACGAGAAATTAAAGTTTTCTTTAAGTTTTTGAGTTTAATTTTGTTTAGGATTTAATTTTGATGTTTGTGGAGAAAATCATCTTGTGAGGTTTTTATTCTTCGTTTTTATTTTGTCTTATTTGTCATTTTTTATTTTTGAAGATTATACATGAAATGACACATAAGGTGACATATAAAATACATACAATTAGCTTTAGATTAGAATTGGGTTAGATTGAGCTGAAATGAGCTAGATTCTGAGCTTGAGTCAGCTCAAAATTGAGCTCAGATATGACATGGGTTAGCTAGTTTGTGGTTGACCTGGGTTGGACCTAGGTTGGATTGGGTCGGAACTGGTTTGACTCGGGTTAACTTGGGTTGGAATGGGTTGAACTTGGTGGATTAAAATTGGGTTAGATTGAGCTGAAATTAACTAGATTTTTAGCTCGGGTTAGCTCAGAATTGAGCTCAGATATGACATGGGTCAGCTAGTTTAGGGTTGACTTGGGTTGGACCTAGACTGGATTGAGTCGGAATTGGGTTGGCTGGGGTTAACCCGGGTTAACCTGGGTTGGACTGGGTTGAACTTGAATCGACTTAGGTTGACCTGAGTTAGATCTAGATTGAACGTGGGTGGATCAGGTCAGGTCTGAGTTGGACTGTGTTGAACTGGATCAGACCTAAATTAGACCAAGTATGACTTAGGTTATGTCGGGTTGGACCTGGGTACCTGAGTTGGACCTAGATTGACTTGGGTTGTCCCAGGTTGGACATGTTTTGGGTCAAGTCAGGTTTGATTTAGGTTAGATGTGGGTTGTGTCAGACTTGAGTTTGGGTCATGTCGAACCTGGTTTGGGTTAGGTCAAAATTGAGTTTGGGTAATGTCAGACCTGGGTTTGGTTAGGTCCGACCTGGGTTTGTGTTAAGTCAAACTTGAGTTTGTGTTAAGTCAGACATGGTTGGGTTAGGTCATACTTGGGTTTGGGTTAGGTCAAATCTGGGTTGGGTTTATCAAACATGGGTTGGGTTAGGTCAGACTTAGGTTTGGGTTAAGTCACAATTGGGTTGGTTTAGGTTAGGCCTGAGTTTGGGTTAAGTCAGACCTGGGTTGGGTTAGGTCAGACTTTGGTTTGGTTTAGGTTAGACCTGGGTTTGGTTTAAGATTAGGTCGAATTTGGGTCGACATGAGTCGAACCCAAACCTAAACCTAATCCATGGCTATTCAGCAGGTTAACCTAGACTAGACTTAACTTGAAAATTAAATGCTTGAGTTAGAAGAGGAGAGGAGACTTACCAGAGAGAAGTCTGATCGAACAAGGAGGAAGCTCGTCGATAGACTTCTTCCTTCTTCTTCCTATGTTCCTCTATTCGACTAGTCCGAGACTTCGAGGTATTCAAGCCCTCCAGTCATGGTGGAAAGGTCGCCTACTCATAGGCTAGGAAGGCCGTATGTGGCCGTTAGTTGGGTGGTGAGTCGACGACTACGTTCATTCCGACGGTCCTGCGGAGAAATGGGTGAGTTGTCTCCGGATCCATGGATGAAGGCCTCAGATTGCTGGCATGGCACGAAAAGTGATCATGCCAAGTGATCACACTGTAAATACCTGGGCGTGGTCACGCCTAAATCGGGCATGACTACGCTGAGATACTTATGGGTGTCGTTATGCCCATGCCTGGCAGACCAAAAAAAGGCATGATGAACTTTAGGTTAATGTGGCTACTCGAGATTAATTAGTAATGTTCATTTAAGTCGTATGTGCCTAAAAAATGAGGTCAACATTAATCAACTAAAGTATTGCTCTTCTTAAGAGCTCAAATTTTCTAATCTATAAAAGGTTACAAAGAGCTATTAGTTGATATGATAATGGTAATATTAAGGTTTTTAGAACCAATTCGGCCCTTGGACAGATTGAAGGGGAATGTTCAAGATTCAATTGGGATTTAAAGAAGGGTTAAACTATGGCAATTTATTATTATTATAATTATTTAAATGATGTTTTATCTTTAATAATGCTGACAAGCTATTGGTTATACAACATTCGTTCCAAGGAAAAATAATTTCAACTGCTCTAGAGCTCTTTGAGCCAAATTTGCCACCCATTGGTTGAGCAAGCCCTTGATCCAAGAAAGGAAAAAATATAATATACAATGTAGTTGCCCCTACTTATTTCTCGTTTTGCTTTTGATTTCTCAAGCTTTGCCTCTTGTAAGGTCATGTCTAGGTTCATTAGGTTGCTCTTTTGAAGTTTATAATGAACATAACAAATAAATACAAGCAACACAACCTGCTATGCAAGATTAATCTCGATACATACATAGTTTTAAATTGATACATGTTTAAACTAACAATAACGACGATGATAATGATAATGATAATGATAATGATGATAATAATAATAATAATAATAATAATAATAATAATAATAATAATAATAATAATAATAATAATAAAACCTTAAAATTTATTTTATCAAAACATTCAAATATTGCATTTTATTTAATTAGAGCCCTTTTGTATTTTTAATTATATTTCATTTTAGGAGTCTTCTTAGGCCTATCATTAACAAATTTTATGCCAATTATGGTACATCCGTTTTTATTTTTTATTTTTTTTTTCAAATATTTATATTTTCATTTTTTGTGCACATGTATAATAGAGTTTCCAACTTGCACCATAAGGGAGTGACTCCTATAATGAACTCAAATGTTTATTTTTCAATTAATTTGCATTTAATTTCTTATAATCATTGAAACATTAGTCAGATTTCTGTGCAAATGCAGTATGGAACATCTTAAAATATTTCATATTCATCTAATTTATTTATATTATAATGGTCTAATATTTGAAAACTTAAATTTCCTTTTAAAATTAAAATATAATACAAATTAAAAAGTAATTATTCACCTCATTTTCACTTCATAAAGTAATCCCTTAGGAATTTTGTTACTTCTTTTCCTTTAGCTTTCTTGTAACTTCAATTTTTAAATATTAACTTCTGTTGATTTCTTCTCATCACGAAAGTAAAGATACTATTTACCAACAGCAAGGATTCTCTTGTCCCAAACCTCACGTGAAGTTCATTTTCTCTTCTCACACACATTCGCTCCCTTTGTTCATCTTCTCTGTCTCACATTACAATTTTCACACATCTTCTAATTAACGGAATTGAGTTGTCGGTTTTGCCGAACCAACACGGGTTATATATATATATATATTTCGGTTATTGCAGTTATCTGGTAACATGTTGGCTTGCTGTTTTTATTTAAATTAAATTTTTTTTTTTGAAATAATGGCATCAATGTTTTGAAATAAATTCTCACATTGCTGAACTTAACTATAAGAGGTGCAATTTTATTTATGAGAATCTTTTCTTTTGGTTCTGTAATGAGACAAGTTTGTATTGGAGTTGATTTTCTTTCAGTAGTCAATGCTAAGTTGGACCAGGCTGATGCTTGTTTACAATGGTATCAGCCGTATTTTTTATTCTCCCTCTGAATTGAACTTGAGAAGCTATTTGAATGTGACAACTTTCATTTGCTTGCTTGCTTGTTATTAAAATTCATTCATAATTTTTGCATTCACTATAGCGGTTCTGTTTATTTGAGTGGGGTTTGATTCAATTGAGCTTGTTGTATTTCCCTTTTCCATTGAGCCTTCTTAACATATCCAGATTTAATCATGTTACCTCCCCAACAACAGTTCAATTAAAAAACACAAGCAAAACAATTTAAAGAAAATGGGAGATTCCTAAGATTATAAAATTTCATCACTTCAAAACTGTCTTTTTTTTCTATGGCCATTTTTTCAGCTCATTCATAACTCGATGGTCCCATTTATTTAAATTTTATTTTTAAAAGTTTAATCACTGTATGGCAAATCATAAGTATCCTGCATTATACTTTGTTCAGCTCAAAAACTTTATTTTTTCAAGTTCGTTTTAATGCTACTGAAATGTTTGCGTTTAAATTTCTCCAAGCTGACGTTTTTCTCATTTTCCAGTACTTTTTGAATCCTAAAGTACCAAAGGAACCTGTACCATCACAATTGGAGCTAATAGCGGAAGACATTCTCGTTCCTTTACAAGCAACATTCCATTTATTTGTTGATAAGGTCGTGTGATCATAGTTAACTTATATCTTAATTATTCATTGATGGTTCCTCAGTTATTCTTATTCGCTAATTAATGACAGGCTTTATCATGTCCAGACAGAATAGAAATGGAAAATGAAGAAGTTCTTCTTATTATATGCAAATGCATCTACTTTAGTGTAAGTTCTAATATAAGCATAGTTTATTTAAATGTTATTTCATTGTCAAAACTACAAGTATTCCATGCCTTGTTTTATGCTTGCTCATGACATTCTTGAATTTGAGGTCTTAAGCCTGTAGCTTTACGATATGGTTAAGCAGCTTCATTGTTATGTCACCTCTACTTGTAACAATGGATCCGATAGATAAAACCATTCTGAATACTTAATAAAAGAAACAGAGCATGAACTAATCGATGGTCCATGATAATTCTGCACAAATTTATACGTCTTGTTGAATTTGCACAACTATTCCTTTTCTTTTGTCTTCATATTGACTGCCTTCATGGAGTGGCGGACTGGGTAACTATTGTCTTGATTGGTGTCCTGTTCCAACTCAAGATTCTGGATACACCGGAATAAACATACTAATAGAATGCTGTTTTTTTAACTTTGTATATTTATTTTGTTTACTCACTCGCATGCATTAGAATTTGTTGAACAAGTGCACATGGATTTATGGTTTCAAAAAAACTATTTATTAATGCATGTCTTGTCAAACTTGGAAGTACATTGCTTTACATTTTTTCAATTTAATTTTGTACTTGTAGATAGTTTTCAGAAATATGTATCTTAATGCATCATGTATGTGTCCTTAGTGATTTTCAATGTAACTGCAAACATTAGATTTTTAAGATTCAATTATCTTTTGCTTTCACATATATTAGTGGGATGCCACAATGAAACTGCTTCTGCTTCATTTTGCTTGCTTTTAGAGCTTGTAATAAGATGCCTGTTTTGTTTTTTACTTTTTTATTTTGAAAATTTATCATTAATTAGTTTTACAGGTGAGGTCTTATATGCCTTCTGCATTGAGATTTGCTCTGCCAACTTATTGTAATGACTGGTTTCGGGTATTGGATTCGTTGAGCTTAGGCAGTGCTTTATCTGGAGATGGACACTTGTTGAGGTTAAAGGTCATGAAGAGAATTCTAGCAATATTTTGTGCTTTGGTCACTCGCCATCGAAAGCATTGTGACAAGTATATTTTTTTCTAATAAGAGATGTTTTTATATGTGCAATATAGATCTCCATTATAAATGGTATTATACACTTCTCTATTCTCAGGTTGATGCCAAATATCTTAAAATGTGCTATCAAAATAGTCAAGCAGAGTCCTAATAATTGTGTAAGTTCATATCGGTGTACTTATTAATATTTGATTCATGAAATTAGAACTTGTTTTTTAGATAGCAATAAAATAATATAATTCCATATTTATTTGTTTGTTTGTTTATATTTTGCCCAGCAATATTAACTTTAAAAATTGAAACAATGGCATTGTTTCAAAGCATTTTGAAGTTGGAATAATATCATAAAAAGGGATTTTGTGGAATTCTGTCCCTGTTGGGTGGCCCAGACCTCCGACCACATGGGACCCACAGGTTCGATCTGTGAAAGCTATTGGTGGGAGTTTTGCTATTTCAGCTTTATTCTTTTTTATTTTTTACTTATTATATTGTATGTCTTTCATTCTTTGCTTGTTTTTATGTTTAATATGTTGTAATAGTTTTTATTATGTTTGCCCTAGCTTATCTCATATAATAAGAGGAAATGATGTAAACTTGTTTTTGATGGAATAAGTCAATATGACTTCTACACCTTTCTTCGTAGTATCATAGCCCTAGTGAGAATCCTGGCTGCTATGAGCTCCTCTGCCTGCCTTCTTCTGCTTGTCGTCCTTCTATCAGCCCTCATATCTCTGCCGCAGCCCCGTTACCAGCCTGCACTCCATCAGCTTTCCTACAACAGTCCTTATTCATTTGGAATATCTGCTTCTCCCCTTCCTCGTTTTAGACTATCGACTTTATTTCATCTTCTTTGAGAAATTGGCCACAAGGACTAAAATATTTTCCCCTTCTTTGTGTGGCCAAGCCATCACCACACTATGCTTCATGTTGCCATTCTTCTTCGCAGCCTCATGATGACGATCGACTCCAATTGATTTGATTTACGTTGCATGCAAAATTGATTATCATGGCTTTATCACATGAGGATTTGATTATTGGTTCAATTTATTTTACTAGATATATTTATTCTAGTTTGTAAACCATTTGATTATTTGGTTGGGTTGAGATTTGGATCTTTTTAAACAAGATTGTAATAGCTTGATGTGCTTAAAAAGTAATAAAATGTTATTTTGGATATTTAATAAAAAAAACGAGACAAATTTTTATTATAAGAATAATATTAAATATCATGAAGATACCACTTTTGAGTACTTAAAAGATTATATGTATATATATATATATATATATACCACTCTTTTATTTCTTAATTATGAATAACAATCTTTCACCATTTATTTTTATTATTTATTTTGTATATTATAAATGCTTGATATCTTTGGATGGGTGAGCCCGGGTGAACCATTCCTGTTAGTAGAGACAAACATGCTCTACAAGAGTACGGTTATGTCAGATCCCTAATGTTTTAGTTTTATTGTGTTGGGGCGCTTTATGTGATATTTGTCAAATTCTGTCTTGGAGTCCTTGAGATGCTAGTCAGATTTGGAAACTGCCTAACCCATTTGATAGAAATGGTAAATTTTTTGATTTTCTTTTAGTTTTCTTATAATGCGGATATTTGAATTGTTTTAGTAAGAGTTTCATGTTATATTTTAAACCATTCCACTGGATGTCACCATATCAATTCATGATATGTAAATTTTTTTTTTGGGTTCTATGGATACATTTTGTTCATCTTGATGTCCTCGTTAATAAATAAAACATGCACATATTTTTAGAACTTTTTTGCTCTCCAACAAGCATTTCTTTTATGTATGTTTACAAGACATTTGTTGTCTTGCAGATTTTGGGTGCTCTGCCAGAGCGGATTGTATCTCTGGCTTTTGATGTAATTTCACATGTTCTTGAAACTGGCCCTGTAAGTTTATAAAAATCCTCCTTTTTCTTAGGTACTCTTCCTGCTAGTGCTATTTCTGCTCTTGAATATTCTGTTTGCCAGTTTCATTACAAATTATCAATGTGAGATAATTTATGACATTCTATTAATTATGCTTTCTACGAGGAAGAAATCCAACTGCATGAATGCTTAATTTCTTTGCTGAACGTAGCAAACGTTGCTCACCTTTTGCTGAAAAATTTTACTTAACTCATGTTATATTTTTATATATTGTAGCTCTTTTAATTTCTACAGGGGTGGAGGTTGGTATCACCACATTTTTCTTCACTTTTGGAGTTAGCAATCTTTCCTGCCGTTGCATTGAATCAGAAAGTAAGCTCTATTCTCTCCCTTGTGGTCAGCGTCATACTTATTTATACCATGTAACATTTATTTTCATAATTGGTGCCTATCTGCGTGGTTTGTTTCAATTGGAAAAATTATTGAGTTATTCATGGGAAAATTTGTTTTAATTAACAATAATCAACTAAAGTTTGCATTGCAAAGTTGGGCATTGGAGATGAACATTCCACTTTAGGGTACCTAGTAATAGGTCCAAATTTACATGCAATTGAAGTGAGAATGAGTTATACTTCTTTAGTAGCCACTGCTGTCATTGATATTAGAAGTTTATCCTTTTAGTCAACATTTGTTTAGAGGAAGTTAACAATAAAAGCTTTTAAATTGTTAAAAAAAGCTTGGATTCCATGGAACTCAATTTGCCCCAACAACTATGTATGTCCTCCTTTCTAGTATAATATAATTATTTATTTCTCTTGCCTCTCCGAGATGCCTTTCATGGCCTCACAGTCAACACCGTACTACCTGCTCCACCACCGAGCCGGAGGGGTTCAAGCCACTCTCACGACACATCAGACTGAACCGCCCGTGAACTAATTTAGGAAGATTCAATAGTACATGCGGGACACATATTGAGGTGGTTGTTTGCTCGTAAGTGAGAAAAGGACCTTTAGGTATCTTGAGAGATGGTGCAGTCACCAGTGGGATCTAGGGTTAAATTACGACGAAACAGAAGCTTTGCCCTATGACGTCGAAGCTCTCCCAATCTGGGAGACTGACCTGGGGCGCTAAAAGCCGCCCTTATAGCGGGGTGCTTAAAACACGCGTGGCCAGAAGCCCTGCGAACCATCGTAAGACGGGATCACAAACAAGCGAATGCTGCCCTTCCTTTGGTGCTCTTCTGCATATAGGAAGTTTATTTTTTTGGACTCTTCTTGCCTCCCCACTCCTTTTTGTGTGGGAGTTTCCTTTTTATGTCTTTTGTAATTTTCTCCAGTGAAAGTCTATAAATTGTTGTTTTCTATTTATAAGGGACAATTTTTGCTGTGTTTATTTTCAAATTCGTGTATGGAGTATTTCTCCTAGTTCTAGGGCTCTATCCAATGAGGTGGTGGTGCTCCGATTGTATCATAATCCAAGATGTTGTATCCTTTCCTTCTACCTTTCTCGAATCTGGTCCTCCCCTCTCCTTAGTCGTCGACCTTCCCCTCCGTCACCCCAACAACTGACCGACCCTTTGTTGGAGGTTATTACTGCTATCTCCTCCCTTCATCTCAACACTCGACCGCCCATTACCTGTAGCCATACCTTGCTGTCCCGCCTTCCTACCTCCTCTCCAACTCCTCCCATCCACCCCCATTGCCCGCCTCTGACGACCTATGACCCTTCCTACTTGTTGTCCCTACCGTTCTACACTTCTTCCCTTTGCTGCAGCCAACATCCCTTGGCTGCCACTATCCCTTCTAATAATTCCTATCCCTCTAGCCGACCTGCACCACCCATTTGGATACATCTTAGGGGTGTTTGCTTGTGTCGTTTATGTTTTGTGCTGTTGCGTCAGGTTGCATTGTGTTGTAATCTTATCTTCTTTTTTAATAAAAGTTTGCTTTTGTATTTCGCTAAATCCTAACTAGTTCCGATACTAGTTCTTATCAACTATAAATAATTTGACACACCTTTTCTTAGGTGAATATATAAATTATGTTCCGCACACTTACTCGTGACATAGTGGTTGGGGGTTTAGTTTCTCACTATGAGAATGCAGGTTTGAATCCCACATATTACTTTTTTGGGCTCAATTTCTCCTGAAATAAATAAATAAATGCAATATGTATATATATATATATATATGTTCCTCAGTTAT